CCTGCCGCAGGGAGCTGGGAACAGACTGCCCCGGGCTTGGCCCACGGGCCACGGAGCCTGTGCGCGGGGTGCGCCCCGAGGAACCGGCTGCCAGCCCGCACGGAGGCACGGCCCACTGCGCTCCCGCTGCCGAGAGGCGCCTGGGGGCAGGGGGCTCGGGGCTGCCGATGGGCCAGAGCCTCCTGCCCCCAAGGAGGGGATGGCCCTGAAACCCACGCCCAGGCCAGGGCAGCTGTGGCAGAGGTGGGGTCCCGGGGCTCCTGCACAGCCAGGGCAGTGGCAGGTCCTGCAAGAAGGGAGTTCACCGGAAACTTCCCAGGAGCTGCATGTGCCCTCCCCACCCCTCGTGACCTCCCGGTGGGGTGGGCAGCATGGAGCCATGGGCATGGAGGTTGCGGGGAAGGCTCCAAAAGCCATCCCGGTGGGGAGCAGGCACCCGGGAGAGCCTTGCATGCAGCCCCCGTGGGGGGCAGTGCCCATACCCAGGGGCCCAGCTGGCACCTCCAGGCCCTGAAGGGGGTAGAGGGTGTCAGGGTCTACACCAACCTTGACCCAAGCAGTCACTCGGTACTGGTGCCCATGACCTGGCACCCCACAGAGCACGGCAGTCCCTGCCCAGGCCCCCAGTGGTTGGCTGCAGGTAGCTGTGGCTGGTGTTGCTGGTCCCAGCCAGCTGTGACAGGGATGGCCCTGGGTGCAGGGGGTGGGGGACGGCACTGGTGCTGGGGAGGTTTGAGCACACAAGGCTGCTCCAGCCCAAGGCATGTCTGCAGAGATGCCTGTGGCTGGAGCAGGGGGACAGGGAGGGCAGGCAGGGCCTGGGGCCTGCCCAGCTTCCTCCATTCCCTGGGCCAGACCTGGGGTTGTCCTCTCCACCAGGCTAAGAATAGCTGTCTGATGGAGACGGGCTATTTTTAGCCGGCTAGCAGGTGACCACTGCCCCGTGGTGGGGACCATGCAAGACTGGCACCCACCACACTTGGAGCCAGGGGAAGGGCAGGAGCTCAGGTAGCTGCTCTCCACTGACCCCTCTCAGCCCTGGGGCCCTGTCCCCAGGATACGATTCCCTCCCTGCTGTGGCACCAGGCAAGTCCCATCCCGGGCCAGGGCGGGTGCCAGTGTGCAGGTGGGTGCAGTGTGGCTGGGTCTGGTGCAGGGGCAGGGGCAGGGTGGGGGGGGCAGGGGGGGGCACCTGCCAGCTGCTCTGAGCCCATCTCTCCCTCTGCAGCTTCGACATCGAGAATGGCCTGGCATCCGCACGGAGCCCACTGGACCCCCAGGCCAGCCCCAGCGCGGGACTCGTGCTGCAGGGCCCTTTCCCGCACAGCCAGCGGCGCGAGTCCTTCCTGTACCGCTCTGACAGCGACTATGACCTCTCCCCCAAGAGCATGTCCCGCAACTCCTCCATCGCCAGCGACCTGTGAGCACCCTGGGGTACCAGGACTGGGGCTGGGGAGTGCAGGGCTTGTAGTGTGTGTGGAACAGGCCAGGGCCAGGGGCAGCCTGCGCCCCTGAGGCTGGGCACTGAGCTCTGGACCAATGCCGATGGGCTCCAGACCTCCTTGGCACCAGGCCCTTCCCCAGACCCCAGGGCCGACGTGTTGCCTTGTCCCTGCAGGCATGGAGAAGACATGATCGTCACACCCTTCGCACAGGTAGGAGCCCTGGAGCATGCACGTGTCTCCCTCCCCAGGCATCTCCTGCCAGGTGGGACCAGCAGGGTCCCCGGGCCTCTGTGTGGGGCCTGCCTGCATCCTCCAGGCTGGCCTGGCCCCCAGTCCCCAGCTCCTGGGAAGGGGCTGCTGCCTCCTCCCATCAGCTCTGGGTGAAGCCTGGGCAGCTCCGGGGTAGCTGGGTCTGAACGCCCGGCTGGGCCATGCCAAGCTCCTCCTCACCCCCAACGGGCCCCACCGCAGGGCTTCCCAGACATGGGGCTGCAGGCACCTGCTTCCAGCCGCTCCTGCCCTGCCCTGCATGCCCTCAGGTGCCTGGTTTGGTCTCCCCCAGGTCTTGGCCAGCCTGCGCACTGTCAGGAGCAATGTGGCCGCACTGACACACCTGCAGGACCGCGTCACCAACAAGTGAGTGTGTGCACTGGGCGCAAGGCTCATGAGAAACTGGGCCCTTCCTGGGGGCTGTGGCCTGGTGGGGAAGCTCCCATTACACACAGGCTACCAAAGCAGCCAACTGGTGGGGGCCAGGGATGGGGATGGGGTCTGGGTCCCATGTGGGGGTGGACTGGGGAAGCATCAATGCCATGGGCTCTCAGCACACCTGCTCCATGTGTTCTGCAGGAGGACGACCAGCAACAACCCAGCACCCACCTGCAAGCCCAGCCTCTCCGGTGAGTGCCCCTGCGGCAATGGGCCCGGGGCCCTCCCTGACCACCCTGCCCTGCCCAGCTGGTTGGGGAAGGGCAGACCCTGTCCAGCCCTCTGTAGCTCTCCCTGTCCTCAGTTCCCCTCTCCTCAGCCAGGCCTGCTCCAGCCACGTGGCAGCCTCTTGGAGCCAGGACCTGGGCTACCCAGAGAGCCACCCGCCTCAGCCTCCATCCTCACCCCATGCCCCCTCCCCAGCCAAGACCATGCACCATGAGCCCACCGTGAGCACCTCACTCCCTCCCAGCCTGGCCCTCACCCATCCCAGGGCCCGGCGTGGCCTCCCCACTGTGTCCCACTGCTCATGCAGCCCCTGCCATGCTCTGCGCTGGGGATGGATCCTGGTTGCTTGTGTCCCAGGCCACGCCACTGCCTGACACTGGGTCCCATCACACCCTGGCACTCCCCAGGAAGCTGCAGCCCTGGGTGTGAATGCACCCTGCTCTGTCCTAGCCTGGATGTGGCCTGGCATTGGCGCAGGCCTCCCCGATCCGTGCCGGGTTTTGCCTGCGCCCAGACCCTCGCTGCTCTGCCGCAGCGCGGATGGAAAGTCTCCTATTGACGTCAAATGTTCCATTAATAAAACACTCGGCCCGTGTCTCCAGCCTACCGCCCTGCTCGGGCGGGATCCCAGCAGCATCCAGCTGGGCTGCAGGATGGGCCCTGTCCCTGCTTCTGCTGCCTCAGCTGGTCCGGCACAGGCGCAGGGCCCTGTGCAGCACAGCCAGCCCTGGGGCCTGGCTGCACCCATGGAGCTGTGCGGCCAGCTGGGCAACCTGGGGCATGCAGCACCCTGAGCCCCTTGGCCTGGGGCCGCAGAAGCAGGGTGCGTCCAGGATGATCCTGCCTCAGGCAGGGCTGGCCAACATGACTTCAGGAGGTCCCTGCCAGCCCCACTGCTCTAGGATGCTGTGATACGGGGACTGGGGCTGGGGTGGCTCCCAGAGCTGCTCGCTCTCCAGCAGGTGGGATGGGAGGTTGCTGCGCACGGCTCTTCATAGCAGGTAGATGCTGAGTCCTGGGATTCTGCTTGAGCAGGGGCTCCGGGCTGGGCAGAGTCCTGAGGCGAGGCATTGTCACGGGGCTGTGTCTGGCACCCTTTCAGCTGTGCACGGGTCCCACAAGGTCCCTGCCCTGCTCCCAGGATGCGGTGTCAGGGGTCGCTGCTCCCAGCCTCACACGGCTGCGGCTGTGGCTGTGGCTCTGGGCAGCCGCTCGCTAGCATTGCATGGTCCAGGCTGCTCGCAGGCACTGGGAGCTTGACAAAGGTCAGAGGCCTCGGGCTGGGCTCCTGCCTGCTGCCTCCCCTGGCCCCAGGCTGGCTGCCTTGCAGTCAAGGCCCTGCTCCTCTGAGCAGTGTCCTTGCTTTTCCTCCCAACCTGGAGTGCACCTGGCTTTCCCAGCACCTGAGTACTCCATGCGTGAGGCCCTTTGCCTGCCCTTCGTCCAGGCAGCCCCTGCTCAGCTACCTCTGCCCAGGCTGGGGGCACCCTCGGGGAGGCGCGGGGCAGCAGCACTTGTTGTCCAGGCACCTGCCGTCGCACCCCTTGTCTCAGTATCTGCAGCTGCCGGGGCCAGCAGCAAATGTGCCAGCAGAGATAAGGCGGCCTGGTGCGAGGCCTGCTGGGAGCACAGCGCAGGGCTGGAGGCTGAAGCCAGGGCCCTGTGGGCAGGGCTGGTCCCAGGGAGCCTGTCTCACCAGGATCCCTGTCTCACCCTTGTGCCCTCCCCATGGCCCCAGGCTGTATGCGATGCCTGTAGGAATGCAATGCCAGCGCCCAGCTGGGTCCTGCCCTGGTGCTTGTCCTGTGCTTTCCCATGCCCCTGGCCACATCACCACAGCAGCACAACAAGCGGCTGTGATTGCACCCAGTATTTGCTGTTGGGCTCTGATCAGTGAGCCCGTGTCCCCTGCCCACCTGGTGAGTCCAGCCTCTCCCAGCCACATGCACCCCACAGCGGGTAAGTGAGGGCCTTGGGGCCGTGGCCTGCAGCTGCTGGTGAACTCCAGCATACCAGGACAAAGCATGTGGGGCAACGTGCGCCACGGTGCACAGGGCCTGGCCACGGTGCCATGGGCTACCAGAGTCCTCCAAGCTGCCTGCTCCTTCCACCCACAGAGGATGCCTACCAGAAGCTGGCTGTGGAGACGCTGGAGGAGCTGGACTGGTGCTTGGACCAGCTGGAGACCCTGCAGACCCGGCATTCGGTCGGCGAGATGGCCTCCAACAAGGTGAGCAGCACCCATGGCCTCGGCCCCAGCCTTGCGCATCCAGCCCCACATGGGCGCTCCGGAGTGGCTTCAGCTCCCGCCTCCCAGTGTCATGCGTGGGGTCCCTCTGCACGTGCGTGACCCCACGCGGTTCCCGCCGGGCCCTGGCACGACCCAGATTTCTGGGCAGATGCCCTAGTCTCACGCTCCAGCCTGTAACAGCCACAGTGGGGAAACTGAGGCACGCATGGGGCTCCTAGGAATGTTTTAAGCCGGCCTAGGCTGCAGGCTGGGGGGCTCCGTGCTGCGGGGCATGCCCCTGGGCACTGGGTGCAGTGGGGAGACAAGGGGTGCCGGGCTGGGCCGAGTAGCCCCTGCGCCGCCCCGGCGGGCGGGAGACAAAGGGGGAGCTCGGCCTGCAGCGCGGGAAGGGTTAAGGCTGCTCCGTCTCC